CTAAGGGGTTCTTCCTCTACCCAATTTCCTCATGTAACTTTATATATAAATAATTCCCTTTTTCCCCGTACCTAGATATGAAGAAGCTGAATCTAGACTAGATCTGGTTGATCTCCCTCGCTGGGTTCCCCTCGTTTTGAAGCAGAAAGTAGAGGAAAGAAGAGAGAGCAGAAGAAAAGAAATCAGAAATGAGAGGTGTGCTTTTTTTTTGGAGTGGCAAACAGCTCTATTTTTAGGCTTTTTACGCCGGAACGGCCCGTTCCAAATCCGGAACGGCCCGTTCCGGACCCTTAAAACGTGGCTAAAAATCACATCCAGAACGGCCCGTTCCAAAACCAGAACGGCCCGTTCTGGTGTTCATTAATTACCCCCAACGGCCATAATTTTGGGAACGCCCCGTTCCAGGCCCGTTCTCATTTAGGGTTAAAGGCATATTTAATAGTCTGGAACGGCCCGTTCTACCTTGAGAACGGCCCGTTCTGGGCTATTAACTCACACGCAACTTGGTAGTTTGGAACGGCCCGTTCCAATTCCAGAACGGCCTGTTCCGAGCTACTAAATCATATACCTTTTAATAGTTTGGAACGGCCCGTTCCAATTCCGGAACAGTCCGTTCCAAGCTACTAAATCACCCCTATCACCTTTATAAAATTACCAAAATACCCTCTATTAAAATAAATAAAAAGTGAAATAAAAACTGGAGTGTTACAATGAGAGAGTTAAAATATAACTCTTAGATTAATTTCCTCTCACTTGATTAAACCCCAAATTTTCTCTCATTTAATTAATCTAAGGATTATATTTTAACCCTCTCATCTCTCATAATAAATTCTCTCTCACTTGATATGCTCCCTATATATATATATATATATATATTCATTTTCTCCCTTCATATTAATTGCTATAATTTCATAATTATTAATAGATTTCATAACTTCTTGAAGTAATAATCGATTTTAGGAATCAAAATAAAAATATTAATATAATATCAACTGTTTAATATATATATTTAGCGAAGCAGTTCTTCAATCTACTTTTATTTTTTTCAAATGAAAAATAATGTTGACAGTTCACTATATAAAATACAAGTTTGTTAAAATAATACTTTTCATTAATTTATATAAGTTAATGACAATAACTCCTTTTAATGTCTATTCAATTAACAATCCTTAATTATAATTAAAAAAAAAAAAAAAAAAAAACTTCTCGTTTATATGCACCACTCCTCAACTCCTTTGTACTTAAAGTTACCTATTCATTAATTTCTCCTTTCGTTTTATGCATACTATAAATATATGGTAGTCTAAAACTTAATATGTGGAAATAATTTTGATTTGTGTATTACTTTTATATTATATATATTTAAAATATTTTGTGATTATTGTATATTTAAAACATAATTGAACATATTTTACTGTAATTTTATATTAATAATATATAGTATATGTTTTTAAAATCTTGTTGTGACCTTTCTGCTTTGATCTCTTTCTCTCTGTTATTCTTTTCTCATATATTTAAAAAATATTAATTATGACTATTTTTGTCTTCATAGTATATTTAATGTCAAAAATCTTAAACAACTAAGTCAAATATTTTTTTGTTAAAGTTATGAAGTTAATATAAAATAAAGATTGTATTTACTAGAATCTCTTATGTGTCAATATAAGTAACAATTTTCATAATTCAACTGAAGTATATCAAATAAAAAAGATATTGGAAATATGTGTTTTGACAGGTTACATCTTAAACATCCTTTGATTTTAACTTTAAATCGAACTGTATAATTTGAAAGACAAAAATAAGAGAAATTTAATTAGTTATGCTAAAAAAAACTTAAGAAATTCCAATATGAATAAGAGTAGTTTAGCAAATTTAAAAAAAAAATTCATTATTTTTAAAATATTTTGTTATTAAAAATATTTAAATATATTTTTAATCCTGTAAAATGAACACATTTTGATTTTGACCTTGGTAATTTTTTTATTATTCCTCTAAAATCTTTTAGATATATTTTTAAAATCTTTTATTATATAGAAATCTAAGTTGGTGAAATGTGTTGAAAACTCAAAAAGATTACACATGTAAATTATATCTTTCATTAAAAATAATATAATTATATTTTTATATTACTAGTATTAATTTCTAAAATTAGTTATTTAGTAAATTATTATTAGTTTCTTATTTTATATCTTCTCATAATTGATATAAAACTAATGAAATATTTTTATGAAGATGAATTTAAATTTATGTTATATATTGATATTATATATAATAAAATTATAGAAATGAAATTATTTTTATGAAATGTAGAAAAGAAAATTTATGAAAATGTAAATTTGATGCATGATTTATCGTACAATTTTGTACTATTTTAAAAATTGGATACAGAACTATTTCAATACATATTTAATTTATTTTCACATGCTAAGAAATATTTTTATTACTACTAAAATTTTATATTTTTTAAACAGATGATATTATTTTTTGTAAAAAGTATCTTTTAACTAATTAACCCCTCAAAATTAGATAAAGCACTTATACACACGTTTTATATAATGTGAATAGTTTAACAGGTAGTTGAGAAAATGACTTATCCTTAATGTTATAATATGATTAGTTGAACTTAAATTATTTTAAATTTAAATTAAATATAATTTTTATGTTTAATTTTTAAATTATATAATTTTTTATATAAACTTGTTGATTAAATTACATCATTAAAATTATAAAATTTATTCTATTTATTTATTTTGTATTACTTTTTGCAATATTGATGTGTCATTTATTTAATTAGAAATAAATTAATTATCAAGTTAACATTTTTTTAAAAAATAAATATTTATTAACCACAATATAACGAGGTCATTTAAATATTTGTATTGTTTAAAATATTCAATGTTATTGATATATTATATATTATATGATATTTATACATGTATATTATATATTATATATTCAATGTATATATTATATATTCAAAATAAACTATTAATAGATGAATTTAAATTTATGTTATATATTGATATTATATATAATAAAATTATAGAAATGAAATTATTTTTATGAAATGTAGAAAAGAAAATTTATGAAAATGTAAATTTGATGCATGATTTATCGTACAATTTTGTACTATTTTAAAAATTGGATACAGAACTATTTCAATACATATTTAATTTATTTTCACATGCTAAGAAATATTTTTATTACTACTAAAATTTTATATTTTTTAAACAGATGATATTATTTTTTGTAAAAAGTATCTTTTAACTAATTAACCCCTCAAAATTAGATAAAGCACTTATACACACGTTTTATATAATGTGAATAGTTTAACAGGTAGTTGAGAAAATGACTTATCCTTAATGTTATAATATGATTAGTTGAACTTAAATTATTTTAAATTTAAATTAAATATAATTTTTATGTTTAATTTTTAAATTATATAATTTTTTATATAAACTTGTTGATTAAATTACATCATTAAAATTATAAAATTTATTCTATTTATTTATTTTGTATTACTTTTTGCAATATTGATGTGTCATTTATTTAATTAGAAATAAATTAATTATCAAGTTAACATTTTTTTAAAAAATAAATATTTATTAACCACAATATAACGAGGTCATTTAAATATTTGTATTGTTTAAAATATTCAATGTTATTGATATATTATATATTATATGATATTTATACATGTATATTATATATTATATATTCAATGTATATATTATATATTCAAAATAATCTATTAATAATATTATGAATTAATTTAAAAAACTACTTTAAGCATTGCATGAGTTACCGATCTAGTTATAATAAAAACTAAACAATAATCAAAATTACGTTCAAAAGTAATTATAAGAAATAAGAATTAAAATAAATATCAATTTAACTACTATAATAAATCTTAACTTTAAACAATCAACTAAAAAAAAATTAGTTGCTATTAAATATCATATCCTATTAAAACTATCCTAGTACAAGATCAAACTTTGTCTCCAGCCTCATTATTCTCATAATAGGTCTCACGGACATATATACATCCAAAGACAACAAAAAGAAAATGAGAGTGAAAAAAATTTCACTTTGACTACTAATGCAAGTTATGGTTGGATAGCCACACAAAAATAATATAGTCAACATATAAGAATGTAAAATTAGAAAAAATGTAAAATTTTTAATAAAAAGGTAAGAAATAATATAAAATAATTTTAAAATATATATTTATATTAAAAATTAAATTTGTAACTATATTTATTTTTTGAATTCAATATATTTTTTCCTTAAATTTTTGCCAATTTTTTTTTAAGTCTCCGAACAAAAATTATTTTGTTTTAGTCCATTAACAAAAATTTTGACAGCAGTGTCCAAAATGTTACCAAGAAAAAAGTTCAAAATTAAAAGTGAAAAATCGACAAAAATTAAGAAACTAAAATTAGTAAAAAGAAAATTTCCAAAATTATAAATTAAAAAAAAAGGAGTAAAAGTTCGATGGCTAAAAAACATATACAATCTTATTTTTTTTATTGATAACAGTCAAACTTTGATGTAAAAATTTACAATAATTTAGGACCACGAGAACTTAGTTCACCCCTTTGTGTCATTGTTTCATTATTTAGCAGGATGGAGTCATGTTAGACCTTAGACCAACAATGGACCAAGTCAACAAAACAATTATTTAAGTTTTTAAGAAAATGAAAAGGAATGGGTATGATGAATGTTGCTGTCCAAGCCAAGCAACCCATTACCAATTGGTGGAAATAGTGAAAGTCAGCTTTCCACTCAATCATACCTATATATATACACACACAAGATGGGGTTGCCATAATAAACTGGGGCTTCAAATCAACCATTTGGGTTCCCAATAAGAGAGAAGTTGAGTCACAAGCTTAAAAGATAAGATGCCTTGCCTTTACATCTCCACCAACATTAATTTGGATGGAGTTAACATCGATCCCATCTTTTCTCAAGCCACCACTGCCATCTCCACCATCATCGGCAAGCCTGAGAAGGTATTCCACACTACTCTCTCTCATCAATTAATTCATCTCAATTCTCATCCTGTGTCTAAGTTCTTTTGGAGTAATTATGCCTTTTTGTTGTTTACTACTAGTATTATAACTACCTCTAATTTGGGCAATTATTTATGGTGCTTTTGGAAGTGATTGTTATTCTTTCTTTGATCTTTTGTTAACTTTGATGCAACTATATTTTGTTAATGGTTCAACTGTTTAGCAGCTTTAGGGAAGGGGTTTGGAAAATATGTAAAACCGGACACTACTTTTATGTTTGACATGTTTTTGTTAACTGTGAATGTCCAGAAGGATATGTTTTTGATTGCTCTGAAGATGAGAAACTGCCCCCCTTTTCCTTCCTGACTTTCTGTTGTCATAGTTTAACTAATTATTGATAGTTACTGATACCAAGTTTCATGCAATTTGGTATAGAATAATGGATTTGATTTCACTGGCTTAAGAACTTTAGTCAATAACAGTATTAAAATTTAATCACGAAATAAGTGGGTTCATGATGGTAGTGATACAGTTTAATTCGAAATATCGAAACTGTATTAAAATTTGGCTGTTGAATAAGGTCAGTCAAACTTGGAAACATTCTGAATATATAAAGCATTTTGAAATGAAATAAACTGATTCAAATTGGCAATTAAACAAGTTGAAAAGGATTGACGTCCAGCAAGTTTGGAGTTTTTCTATTTTTTTTTTTTAGTTTAATAAAGAAGTGTCACTAAAAAAAATATAGTACTAACACACTTTATACTAAAATAATATTTATTATTTAAAAAATTATTTTTATCTACACTATATATACGATATAAAACTAAATCTACTTAATTCATTCATTAATCATTATCTATATTAAATTTTAATAAATTAATTATTAAATTAAAATTTTTTAAATATAAATCAAGTTTATAATTTTTTAAAAATTTATCCGTTAATTCAAATTAATAAAAAAAATAATTTTAAAAATTTAATCTATACATTAGAATTTTTTAATTTAACGATTAGATCATTAAAATTTATATATAACATAAATTATTGAATAAAATAAATCTACAATATATATTGATTTATGTTATATATATATATATATATATATTATTTATAATGATATTTTTTATATGTTATTATATATAATTTTTTCATTGAGTTGGCTTTATGTTTCTTATAAAAATAAAGTACTACTTTTAATAACTTATATTTAAATTATTGAAAATCAAATTGTTAATTTGGTTGTCGGGCTTTTTTTAATAAGGGAGGGTAGAGCGCAATACTTTAGTGCTATTTGATATTGTTGAACGCATATATGAAATTGGATCACTATAATAAAATAATGCGATGGGATATTTAAGAAACCATATTGCAAATGTCGTCATGATTAATTAAGGCAAGGGAAGTCCAATGAATGAGGTTTAAGTAATTTAATAAACACTTAAACATGTTTCATGTATGGAAATATAATGACTTTTATTTTAGTCTTTATATTTAATAAATATAAAATAATGTAATTTCAGTCTCATTAAAATTAAGAACGTGAAATGAAAAAAGCTAAAATCACACCATTTTATTGAATGCAAGAATTAAAATCGAATAAATTTGTCATAAAAATTTTAAAAAATTGTGATGTTTGCTAGAATAAAAATTGTATTTAATCATTAAGTAAAAAAAAATAGTATATGTACTGCAGTATAAAAGGTGAAGTAAAAAACATTGACACAACTATAGAGTTTTGTAAAATTACACAAATATCTCCTCTCTTTTTTTAATTATCACTGCAATGACCTCCCATTAATTCCAACAATGTATAGCAATCAAATTCTTAAATAAAAGTTAATAAAAATAGTTAGATTCCATGGATCTTGCCAGCTTCTCCTTTCCAATAGTTTAGCACGTGTGAAAGAGAAACGAAGGAGGGTAGTGGAAGAAGTGGAATTGTGTACTGATTGCACTAACTATTTATTCTGAATGGATCCTCAAGACTCGTCACCAACTATTATCTGTTTGGATCCCCACAGTAACCCCACCATCATTTGTTTCAAGTTAATGTTATGATGAGATCTGATCATTCATTCACGTCACACAGATAAATTTGATTGGATATTTGACAAAAATAATAACAGAAACGCCACCTAAAAAGATGGACACAGACAGCTAAATTAAGAAAAAGAAATACAAATATTTAAACTTATCTTAACTTAGACAAATAATCATTACAGTTAATTTAGTGATGGAGATCAATTAAACTAGTATATTTAAAAATAATAAATTTTATAAAAGAAATTAGGAAAATTTTTAGAGAGTTTATTTAAATTTGTAAAAACCTTATAAGAAACTCAGTCATATATAGAGCAATTGAAGTCACGAATTCATAATTATGGCACAAAATTTGTCTTTCATGGTATAACTTCAAGCCTGTGTTGTGACTATATTAATTTATGTGCAGTTTGTGATGGTGATATTGAAGGGGTCAGTGCCAATATCTTTTGAGGGTAACAAGGAACCAGCTGCATATGCTGAGATAGTTTCAATGGGTGGCATAAATTCAGAAGTGAAGAGGAGGCTAATTAACACCATTGGCACCATATTGCAGTCCAACCTATCTATTCCAAGAACAAGATTTTTTCTCAAAGTCTTTGACACAACTGTATTTCGTACTAAATCCAAAATGTAATGCTTTAGCCACAATATTATTCCCTAATCATTTATCTGAGTTTTAGCGTGTGTATTGCTACTAATATGCTCCTATGTGTTATTGATTTTTGCACTCAATAAAAAGAGTCCTACTTAATATGATTATGCCAAAAAGTTCCTTTTTCTCTCTTTAATTTAAGGTGGAAAAAAATTATTTATTTATCATCCATTTACAAATAAATTTATTTTATCTATTCATTCTGATAAAAATAAATAAATAATTAATCAGATTCAATCCATCTATTTAATTTTATAGATAATTAGTAATTCATACACTATTTTTTCAAAATCTATTAAATTACAATATAGGATTTTAATGAATGACTCATGATATACAGCTCCCTACATTAATAATACACTTTTATTACACTTCTTTTTTCAAAATATTTTTAATATTATATAATTTCTCGACTTTGTGAACCTTTTTTTCCTTTGACATTCAATTTTTTTTTTTTTTCAAACACTCACTCTCTTTTTACACGCACTTCCTTCTTCTTCCTTTACCCTTAAGGTTCAATATTTTTGTAAGCACTATACTCCCTTCCTCTATTTTTAGGATTTAAAATCCAAGTAAAATTTTATAATTGTGATTTTTATGTCAAAACATTAATTTTTAAGATTCTCGCATACCTTTCTTTTACTTGCACCTAGTTGCCATAACATGTGTTTAAAAAAAAATGGAATAAAATTTTCATAATTTTAGCAAGTGCTTTCTAAAACACTAAAAACACAAAAAGTTTTTTCTAGAAGTATGAGAAAAAAAAGTTTGATAGAATACCTTTAAAATCTAGGATCAATTGTATACCTTATGAACACACATATTCAAAAAAAATCACCGAGCTATTTTATTTTTGTTTTAAGTTTCAAATTATCTGTTGGGTATAATTCATATTAAATTAATCACAAAAAATTAAAAAAGTAGGGAACAATGAAGACAGAGTGAAAAATTAGGATTTAAATAATGATAAAGTTGAAAGTGAAAAATAAAATTTAAGAAATGCAAAAATGAAGTATGATTGTCTTGATTGCCGGATAAAGAAATCAAGAACAAAAAGTGAAAAAGAAAAAAATAAAAAAAGAGTGATTAAAGAGAAGAAAATTATCTTTCTTCATTTACCCTATATATTTTTATTTATATAATTCATTTACAAATTTATTTCATTAATAATGAAGATAAATTTAAAATTTAGGGTTTAAAAATGATAAAATTGAAAGTGAAAATAAACACTCATTTTGTTTTAAAAAAAAATGCTCAGCACTATTAAGAGGGTAAATGAAAAAGATAATTTTCATTTTTTAATCAATCTTTCTTGATTTTTTTTTTTTTTTACTTTTTGGTTCTTGATTTCTTTATCCGGCAATCAAAACAGTTACATCTTATCTTTATAATTTTTAAATTCTATTTTTTCACTTTTAATTTTATCTATATTTAAATCCTAATTTTTTTACTCTATCTTTATTGTTCCTTATATTTTTCATTTATAATTTCTTGTAATTTATTTAATATGATTATACACAACAGGTAATTTGACACTTAAAAAAGAAATAGCTCCATGAATTTATCGCAAGTGTGTTCATAAGATATATAGTTAATCTTAGATTTTCATGATATTCCATTCATCTTAGATTTTCTTTTTCATACTTTGGGTTGGAAAAAAACTTTTCAAAAATATGTTTTTTAGTATTTCAGAAAATACTTTCGAAAATCATGAAAATATTTTTCAAGAATATTTTTTTCAAACACATGTTACAAAAATTGGGTATAAGTGAATGGAAGGGTTCACGAGAATCTTTAAATTCTATATATTTTTTAAAAAATTTACAATTATAAAATTTTAGTCCATTTTAAAATCTTGAAAAATAGAGGAAGGAGGTGTGTGTGTGTGAAAGGGATGTGAGTGCTTAAAAAAAATTAACCTTGGAGACAATGGGGGAGGAAGGGGGTGTGTGTGAAAGAGGGTGAATGTTGTATTAAAATTAGTTGACAAATAAATTTTCTAAAGCGTTCTAAGGACCAACAACATCTCAAAATAGAAATGAGACTGTAAAACTAGCAAGAAGAAAATATAGAACCTAGAGTAGAAAAGGGAGAAGATGTGCAAGAGAAAGGAGACAGAGCTTTGCTCAGTATGCCTTTCTCCTTCAGTAGAGACACCTATTTATAGGGGATTGAGGCATCAGAAGAAGACAAAAGTTATTTAAAAAGAATAATGTGTAATAAAATTCCAATGGTTAAAAATTAAAAATACATTAAAATGAGATATTGTGAATAATCAATTTCAAAATATGCTAAAAATTTGCACTACAATAAACTCACTTGGCCCATGTACATGTGCAAGAGCCTCACCACTCTTGCTAACCTCTTTGTATGCCTATATCACAATTTGATATATAAACCATTCTCTAAAGACAATACTAGTTAATGTGAGACTTCTTCCTTTTGTAATACCTATTATACAACAAGTACTTGGAAAAATTAAGGGTATTTTGAAAAAGAAAAGTATAATAAGGTATATTATTAATATATGGATGTGTATATATCATGAACTATGAATTGAGATTTTAAAAGACCATTTTGACATAAATTTTGTGTGTCAATTTTAAAATATACTATAGGAATGTAATAACTTATAAAGAAAAATAAAAAATATTAAAAATATTCTTTTAATTTTTATAATATTACCTTTATGGATAGGAATTAGATTTTTTTAACCTTTAAATAAATTAGGTGAATTAAAATTTTAAATTTGTTTTTAATAAATTTTAATTAAATTAATATATTATTTTCATCTAATTCATTACGATTTATCTTTAAAAAAAAACATGTGATTCATAAATTTGACACCGTACTTTAATTTAACATATTTTTCATTTTTATTTGGTCTCAGCAGCCTTTTACCAATTCTTATCATAATGAAATCTTAAGACGTGATCACATGACTCGAGATACTGTGGGGACAAGAATGGCTGATGAAAAGACTTATACTTGGTGTCTGTATTTATAAATGTGCATGATTTTGGAAACTTTCCATTTATTAAGAAACATCTTATCGCATTGGAATCGTCAGGAATTCATCGCCATCTGGGTGATATTTTAGGGGTGTTAAAAGTTGCCGGACAATGGAGGTCTTAATTTTTAATGGCAAGGGATTCAATGAAATATTTGGTAGTTGAAGGGGTTTTCTTGTAAAGAAACATCTCAATGTCTTGAGTCAATAAAATTTTCAATAGAATAACAATAAGGGGAAATATCGTATTTGCTTGGGAATATGCCTTTTTATTCATAGGTTTGATGGCAGTACATTCCATTAACATTCACTTGATTGCCCCAATAGTCTCTGTGCTATTCCTTTTATTTTTTGACACGAGTATTATTCGATCTAATATTTTAGAGGCTAATTTTACTCACATGATCTAAAAGGTTTTTCACCTTTAGGAAAATGAATGCAAGAAGTTTTTAATTAATAAGTGATTCTTGATCTTCAACTTTTTTATTTTTTATTTCTAAGGATCAAGTGAGTTGTATCTATAAAAAAAACTCTAATGTTAAAGTTAGTAAGTATTTAAAATAATAGAGTATATACTATTTTTACATACCTAATAAAAGTTGAGTTAATCATTTATATATTATCAGTATAAAGTTTTTTTACATTGATAACTAATTAGATCTTTTAATTGTGTCATGTTACTAATAAAAATAAATATATTTATAGTGACATAATACAATTAAAAAATCTAATTAGTTGCTAGTGTAAAAAAGTTTTATACTGACAATGTATAGGTGATTAATTCATAAGAGTTTGATATAAGTATATAAGTTAATTACCTATACACTGCTAGTGTAAAGTTTTTTATACTGACAGTCAATCAGAGTTGTTAATAGTGTCTTTTTTATTTTAATTTAATTAAATAAACAAATGAAAAGACACTATTAACGACTCTGATTAACTACTAGTATAAAAAAAATTTATACTAATAATATATAAGTGATTAATTATAAGTATATTTATAAGTAGAGAAATGTTACCATTAAAGCTTTATTCATTAAGTATATTTAAAAACTTTAACGGTGGAACATTACTTTGTGGTATGACGAGAGTGTTATTGAAGTCAAATTATACCTGGTTACACGTATTTAGTCACAATGTCAGTAATTGGATACATGTGGAATCTCCAAACACTTAGTACTTAGGGTCGATATGTTATCAGCCTCAAGACATTTATGGTACACAACACTTTCAAATGGGAGAAGAGTTAAGCCCTCCAATGGTTGCACGTATTCAGTGACAAACTGACAATGCTGGAATACATGTGAAATTTCCAAACACTTAGTACTTGGTGACCAATATGTTATCAGTCCCAAGACATCTCCAGTACAATTTTCATAATATTCTTTTAATAACTCATAAATACTCTTGTAATTGCACAACAAATAAGTACCCTTAAAAAGGATTGATTCTTGCCGGAATTTTTTTTACGAATCAAAATCTGTTTAAAAAATGAGAATACTGATAGATGTATTATACTTTTTATTTTATACTTCTAATTAATAAGAATAACTTTAGTTAAAATAATATAATAAATTGTTTTAACTTTAAATATATTAAAAAATGACATGCATTTGACCATATGTTATTATTTATCAATTAACATATATGCTTAACGATCATTTTCATATTTCATTGACTAGCTTGAGTTATACTTGAGCAATATAATGCACGAGATTAAGCAATGAATATGTTTATGTGCTAAATTTAAAAATAATTTAATTATAGCTAAACATATAATTTAACTAGTTGTTCTAAGTTCATCATATGCAATGATACCCAACATGTCTTAGTATACAAGGTAATAAAAGTTTTCACTGGGCAGTAATTTAAATAATCTTACACTAAAGTTGTTTATTATTATGGACTAAGTAATAATCTTAGTTCATGTGTCTTGTTCATCAGAAGATTTATCAATCATCTTGACATAACAAGATTAACTGAATAACGTTTTAGCTACAAAAATTTATTTCATATTTGGTTTAATTATTGTGAATCTTTATAATTATACAAATTTTATGTTGGATCCTTAATCCAATGTTGGCTTTATATATGAAT